GCTGTAGCCTGCTCCGAAGGGGGAATAGGAAGCTCCAGATCTTCTTCCAGCAGATATTTTTCCCATGCTCTTTCCTCCCACACAGCAGCTCCCTCCCTTCCCTTCTGGAGCAGCAGCAGGCAATAGTTTCAGAACAGTGTTTGGCTGTCTCAGATTTGCAGGGTGCAGCTTAAGAACTAACTTGCTGTTTTGAAAGAATATATTTTGAAGAACAGAAACCTTACTAGAACAGCGCTGCTGTGAAAAAATCTCTAGTGTGAGAGCAACAGCCTGTAGGAGTTCCCTGCACCTCATCAGGCTTTGCATCATAAGTTAACTCTGCTGCTTAGTTTAGGGACAAGCTGCACCCTCACACCCAGATGCTATTTAAAGGCAGTATTTAACTCTAAATGTAAGTATTTAACTTATATTTAGAGTATTTAACTCTAGGAAAGCCACTTCTTAGTTGCAGTCTATCAGTTCTAGTTGTATTCCCTCCAATGCAAATAAAAACTCCATATTTAATTTTTTTTTTTAATTCCTAACAACTTCTATCTAGATGTCTTGCTATGCCATAGAGAATGATGTTCGGAGCTTCCCAGCCTCATATTAGGAAACAGTTTGCCTGAAACGGGGTAATAATATGCCAGTGTTAGAAAGGATTTGAACCCTGCATCCCACTTCATTATATTAATACAGACCTACACCTACCTATGTAATGATTTTACTCAGTAAATGGTAAGAACCACTGATTATAGCAGGGAAGCTTAAAAAAAGAAAGAAGATAAATGAAGCATATAATTTTCATAATTCCCCTGATTCTTTTTAATACCATGCTACTGAATGCATTTCAAAAGTTTTCTCTTGAAGGAGAAAAAAGGAGTATTCGTTTTAAGCTATTATTTTATACTGTTCATTAGCTATTGATTAAAAGTTTTAGAGTGATTTATGACATCATTATTTAAAACTCCTACAAGAAAAGTAGTCCTGACAAAGCATCATGTTCAAAGATTGATTATGAGATTGGAGCTGTGATGGAAGAGAATGCAATTGTCTTGGATCTTTCATGGAGAACGACTCCATCCCTTTTGAGTTCAAATATCTTTGTTTTCTAGACTCTTTCTTTAAATGCAGCTAACATGGTGTGGTATGGAAAAAATCAGTACTGAGATACCAGACTGCAATTCAACTAACATTTAGAGAAAAGGTCCAAAAAAAGAATGCAGGTTTCAGAATTTGATTGTGATGTCTTCTTGGAAGGCAACAGTTTCTGAATGAGTTTTGTGCACTGTAGAAATCCAGTCTGGAAAAATATACTGAACAGCTGCAATAGGGAAATCTCCCAGTGATCTGCTTAGTAAAAGGTGGAAGGTGGCATTGCTGCTACTGTTTGGCTCTGTAGAATAAATATTAGCTCAATGACTGGTCACCATCGTGGCTGAAAACAGGATCTGAGTGCAGATGGCATTAGAGCTTCAGGCCTTTACTTCTCATTCTTTCAGTATGTTGCAGTAATCTAGCTGGGATTGCCCTCAAGTATGCTGCTTGCTTTGCTCAGATCCTCATTTCAGGAAGATTTGCGCAGCATCAGTAAAACTTTATTACCCATATTTGCATAGAACTAGATGCAGAATCAGGGATCAGAGAAAAGCTGTGAAGTATAACAATATTCCCTAAAGGTCTTGTATTTATGAAATGACAAATCTGAGTCCTTTGAGAGATTGCAGCTTGATGGTAGGAAAATGAAGCAGTTGTCCATCACAACCTTCAGAGATCTAGCATAAAAGTGTATGAAGCTGTCATCCATTACATCTATCCATTTCTGCCAGGTCTGAAGGGGTATAGGAAGTTCCTTTGATCAGCAGAGTTAATTGTTGAATACTCCAGGGAGATTGATAAGCCTGTGTGACACTGGATACACGTTCTGAGGAGATCGTGGATTCATGTACTATATTTCCCCTGAGCACAGATAAGTGGATTTAATCAAGCAGAACTTGATTTACTATATCTTCTCTGTGAATTTGTCCAACAAAAAAGCCTGAATCCAAATGTAGGAACTGAGAGCATTAGCATCCCTGTCTTCCCTCTCACCTTCCCCACTTGTCATGCTCCAGGCATTTCTTTTTGTTCTTGACTACAAATAGTTTGGGGCGAAGCACTCATCTGTGTACATGAACATATATACACATGTACATAAGCTATCACATGTACTGAAGGTGCTGGCTGCTTCCATTATATTGGGAGGCATTAGCAAACTAGATGATCCCTAAGGGCTTTCACCATTCAGCAAGGCAAGATACAGTCCTATCCTTGACAGACTTGCTTCTTGAAGGATTGGTTCAGAGTCAAAGACAATGGGAGTTCTCCATTCCATAGCCAGAGAAAGTCTTCCAACAGTTTACAGTCCTCCCTACAAGCCTCTACGTAAAGCTGCAGCAAGAACCACCAGTATCTAGATGGAGGGCTGCAGATCTTTTCTGCAGGCTGAATCTGCAAAAACTCTGCACTGAAAGAAAAGTCAGTTCAGTGTTCCATGGAGAAATTGAAAGTTATTTGTCACAATTACATTCAGATCTGTTTTCCACTTATCCAACACCCTCAAATGTAGTCTAGCTAGCACTGATAGCAAATGCTGAAAACTTCAGAAGAAAAGTTCAAGAAATTGTTTGAAAGATTCTGCTTTGACAGCAGATGGCTGTAGAACTTCAGTCATGGGCTTCAGTCACTGGATGATCTGCCTTGTTCTGGAAGTGTTCTTCACCTGGGCTTCCACATCATTCAAGTAGTGAAGTTGCTTAGGTACCCGTGGATTTCGTAGGAGACTCAGTCAGTCATAATGTGTAATCTCAGTGGCTGAACCATAGTGTGTGCATTTATTCCAGCTATGACAAAGATCCACTGCGGTTTGTTTCCCTATGTCTGGCACTGGAGAGGCTGCATGGGAGACTTGGGGTTATCTTGTATGAAACAACTGTTTGTAGAGACACTAATTCATGTTTTAAGTAAGACCTGCACAATAATTCTTCCACAGTGTAGTAACTTGCAGAGATGCCACACACCTGTACTGATCCTGCCCTGTATTGAATAGTGAGTGCTTTGCTTTATGGTGGTTCCAGTTGTTTGTCTGTAGCGTAAACAAGGAACTGAGTCAGAAGTAAACTCTTCAGTGCAAAAATCTCCCAAATCTTTAAAGACTGTTAATATCTTCTTTGTACTTCCATACAGTTAGTTTATCAGAAAGTTCACTGACTGTCACAGAAGGTGAAGGGGTACTTGTGGTTCATTTGATTCCATGTCTGCACGTAACTAAACACGGTACTTGAAAGGATACCAGGTCAAAGATCACACAGGAATTATGTTGTGCATATTACGATATAACATACCTGTGGAACTTCCTACTGAAAGACAGGAAAAAGTCTTGTCCAAGAAGCTTCTGAAAAGAACAGAAATATGAAGAGGACAGGTATCAGGTGCTTGGAACAACTCATGACACCTGGTCTTACAGGATTTTGAATTGTGTTATTCCTTTGTCATTCTGCAGACATCATATATACATTTGCTTTCAACATCCCTGGTCATGTTCCTCCTCCTACAAGAAATCAACTGTTGTGTAAGAGACTACATGTACTGTAAATGTGCAAAAGACTGAAGACATGCAAACACTGAGTGCCCAGCTAGCTGCTATTTTTGACTGCCAGGCAAGCCAAACAGCATGTACTTTTTGCATCTGCTGGCAGACCACATACATAGCTTCAGGAGTTGTAGTCAAGCCCTGGATTCCTAGACCATATATCAGGGAGACCTCTTGTAGGATCTTGTGATGTTTAAGCCCCTCAGCTCTCCATCAGATGCAATTGGCCAAGAGTCAGAAGTTACTGGGAGAGGGAGGATTGGCAGCTGGCAGCAATCACAGAAATCCTTTTCCAAGCTAACCATGACAAGAGTAAGCATGAGTCATGGTATAAACTGAAGACCCCAGAATTATCTACACTATGGGCTTTCTGCTTACTCCTGAGTTGGCAATTTTTAGCTTACCATATAGGCTCAGCACTTGACTCTAGGCAGCAGTGTCCAGACAGCTCTGACTTTTTTTTTTTTAATTTTTTTTTATTTGGGTCTGCTGCTTCTGCTTTTAAGTGTTGATTCAGCAGGAATCTTCTTCCCTATATTGCAGCATCTAGGCATTTGGCACTGAAGATGTTACTTTCTTCTCCAGGAAGCTTCTTAACCCAGCACTGAATCCAAACTGGTGCTCTAGCCCCTTTTCCTCTGGCATTGTTCCTAGGCTGTTGTGTCAAACACAAAACAATATTCAGTGGCTCAGAGCTCCTTGCATCCAGGAGAAATTGCATTTTCACACTTTCCTCTGCAAAGCCAAGGCAAAATTATTGCCAAAACTAATTTCTTTGCCCCTACTACGCACGTCCTTGTCAACGATGAAACCAAAAGAGTGAAGAGAATTAACGTTTTCTATAAATTTCTGATAGGAAGCATCCTGCTTTTAGCTTTCTTTTCTTCCTCTTTGTCAGTTCCTGTCTTCCCTGAAGTGCCTTCTTCTTTCCACTACTAATGCTGCGAGTCTGAGAAGAAATTTCATACCTGGGCAAATATTCACAGGATTGCCATTCAGCTAGTAGCTGGACCAAATAGGTAGCAGGGCTTGCTAAAGTAACTGCTGCCCATTCAGCAGCAGCCAAGCAGCAGCCTCTCCTAGAGATAAAATATACTAATCTGGAGCTCCAGGGGATCCTTCCTTTGATCCCTGTGACACTACTGTTAGGGCTGTAGGATTGTGCAAGTGCAAAACCAGACACCTGGAAATAAATGCAGCCAGTAATGCAGAACTGCCAAAAGAAGAAAGGACATTGAGGTTTTTGGTCTGATTTTCCTCTTTTTGGGTGCTAGGAACTCCAATATATTGATGCAGCTCGTGTATTGTTTAATAGTTGGGCAGTCCTCCCTTGCCCCAGGAATGCAGTCTTTCTTATTTGCAGTGACACATTAGCTATGCTCTCTTACAGGCTCCTGGACTGTCCAGCTTGAGAAGGGATGCACTGTGGTGGTGTTGAGAAGTCTGCTGTGGCTTGGACTGACATTCTACCATGTCCCAAAAACTAAGCAATATGGCTACATCTACTGTGGCACTGGTGAGAAGAACTTAGATCTGCCTTTCATGCTGTGAAACACTTCTCTGGGATGATCACTCAAAAATATCTAGAATTTATATTTGGGAGATTTATAGCTTATTCTAATAAACGTGTGAAACCTCTGCACTGTGAGCTGGATTGTTTTGTGCCTTGATTTTTTCCTAGGACTTCACAGCATGAATCCTCACCTCCTGATTAAATACCCTGTAGTGTCATGACAGATCCTTCAGCTAGCAACAAACGACATTTTCTTCCACGAAGGGCAAAGTCTTAGGTCAGAAATCAAACCTGGGCCATCTGATTGTGTACAGAGACATGATGCTTCAAACAAAATCTCATCTGGAGGAACATAAATGAATGCCTGCTGTCACCCATGAATGCCAAATGAAAGCAGAGTTTTTCCCTTGGAGTTAGAGTAAAAAGCTGTTGCTTACTCTAAGGGATCATGAAGACAGGAGTGTGTTTTGTTTTTCAGGTGTTAGGCTTCACAAAAATTAGTGCAGTCCTTCCAGCTTATTTCACAAAACTTTAGAAAAAAATTCACTGTAGGCATCATCTAGTTGTTTGCAAAACTTTCTCATTTAGGTTCACCTCGAAGCTATGGCTTTATCCAGTGACATTTCTGTTAGCAGAACTCACTGAGCACAGCTACCTGGGCTAGAAAACATATCCACTTCTGTTCACAGGAGAAGGAAAAACCTTTTCTGAAGGGCTGAAGGTTTCAAAGCTTCGTTAAAACAGAGATGGCCAGCCCAGAGATTTCAGAGTGTTGGTTCTTTCCCAAAGCCAAAACATCTTAGCCATCTCAAGGGGCTAAATTCAGGGTTTCCATTTCACAGAAGCAAAAAACAAACAAAAAACCATTACAAACTAATTTGATTTCCCAGGTAACATGGGTTTATCCCAATCCTTTGTTCCTGTCCATACCAGTAAGTATTAACTGATAATTCTGATGCAAGCAGTACATATAAAAGGCTGTGTTGATTTGTGGCTTTCAGATAAGTATCAAAGAAATGGAACCAATAATGACCCTAATAATTTAATAAGCCTTTCATATGAGGCCCTTAATTACCACTTCTTAAGAGAAATGATCAGTGGAAGTTGCATACAGATATTATATAAGGACAGAAATGGTGCCACCTTTCACTTACAGGGTAGAAAATTGTGCACATCTGGCAGCCCAAAACTATCCTGAGAAGGACCCTCATCACTGACATGGAAAATGTAGAAAATGCATTTGCAGGGAGAAAAAGCAAGTCCAGTTGTCAAGAATATCAACATTGTGTATTTGCTTGATTCAGGAAGGATGCACAAGGTAGGAATACTGAACTGGATGTGTAAGAAATACACATGCCTGCCTGCCACTGCCATGTGTTTTCTGCTGCAAATTACAGGTAGTACAGATTATAAAAATATTTCACTTTGGTAGTCATTAACATAACTTGTTACTGCTGAGGAAACACGGTGCTGCAGGAGGTTTTCTCTTCCATCAGTGTCGAGATACAACAGCCCAAATGAGGCAAATTGAAACACATTAAAGGGGAATTACCATTTATTTCTGGGAAAGAAGGAAACCACCTTTCCAAGCCCAGCAGTAGACTACAGTGACAAAGAAGCCTTCCTGCCTTTGAGGTAAAATCTTTGCCCCCTGCTTTCTCCAAAATCATTCTGAACGTTGAATTCTGCTTTGCTGAATCCTGTGTTTTCCTTGAGGAACATCGCAGCTTATTCACCAGAGACAATACAGAGCACTAATGAGAGTTTTTGAATTTGGAAATACCAGCAAACTTGCAAACAAAAAAGCAGAACAGTGTAAAACAGCTGTGCTCATTGACTGTGCCAGTTCAGGAATCTAGTGGTTGTAATAAAGCGGCTTGTATATATATTTGACATTATCCTTCAGAAGAAGGTTTCCAACCGGCATGGGAACTCTGCACCACTTAGGGCCCCTCTTCCAGATGGGCTTTGCAGATCTGACGGACCAGCGAGTCAGATACCTGTCAAAACAATACACACGTATTTCAAATTGAGACCAACCACGGCAAAACAGCTTTAGTCAAAGCAGAAGCTGACACTCGTTTGCTTGCCTTTGCCTCTCCGCCTGCCTCTTTATGAAAGCAATAATGATGAGCAGAACTCTCTCAGTTCAGAAGGGAACCACTGAAAAGGACTATTTGTTTTGGAACTGCTGCACCTCTGCTGCACTGTAGCCACTGGCACCTGCCTGACTTCCAGTCGTGTGAAACAAATCAGGTGTAATCTCCAGGCTACCGGCACGTTGTCCACCTGTAGCGAACGTGGAGCGCTGAATCCCTTCATTGCAACTAAGTTCAAGAGCGAGTCCATCCATTTTGTAGGGGAGATGTCATTTCAAGAGCTCGCCTCAACAAAATAAACTGATTACAAAGGCCAAGTTCAGTTAAAATAGTCTCCAAAAAAGAACTAGTTTGCTTTCAGTGGATCAATGGGTATTTCTTTTCCACACGATGTGATTCTGGCCCAGTTTTTGCATTTTCACATGCTCGAATTTGCTTTAGCATTCTCTTTATAATACTATTACAGTTTGCTGCTGCAGGAAGTCAGAACCTGCAATGGAAGAGGTACTGTAATTGAATTTTTGCAACTGCAAATCTCTGTCCGGAGTAAAGTCTGGCAAATATCCTCTGCTTTTTTTACCATTTGAAGTTTTAGACTTGGCTTTGCAAACTGGCAGGGGATTTCAGATTCAGAATCGGTTACTGGAAATCTTACCCTGCGGCTGGGTGGCCTGGAGTTTTGTTAGGCTTTAAATCTTTTGCTACCAGTAGAGAGGGAACAGAGGTCTTTAGAGAAAGAAGAGTCTTTTCAGACAATAAAGATCCAAAGTAAAACCCCAGCATAATCTGCACAAACAATGCTCCAACAAATTAGAATTTGGAACAGTCTGATAAACTTCGTCCAGCGATGTTTGCATGCCTATGTTGAGTAATCCCATGGTCTTAATGTAACCTCAATCAGTCATCCTCTCCCCAAACAGCTTTGTTACCTTTCATTTGCATCATGCAAATTGGAGATATTAAGAACTTTGGACAGAGACCACGTAATGCATTTATTTGAAGGCATGTGGCAGATTCCCAGGAACTACAAAGAAAGCTTGCAATGCCAGGCAGCTATAGACTATGTAACAGCAACACATTTTCCTAGTACTTTTCTTCCCCAGCGATCCCGAACAATACAGATTGAAAAAATGGATCACATTTAGAGGTTCCTGCCACTGAAATCAAGCCACTTTCAAACTTGAAAGCTTTTACTTTCAGGACTTCATGATAGTTAGGATGGCAGGAGGGATTCAAAAGATGGTGTGGAACAAAGTTCAGTCAGTTTTTCTCACATAAATGCAATATATTAGCCCCTTTTGAATTGTAATGTTATACTGCTGCATTAACGGAATCCCTTACATAACAATATGAGGATAGGAAGTCAGAGAGACTCCTATCTCTCATTCCAAACGTCAGGGGAGTTCAGAGAGACCAAACACAGGTCCCTACTTGGGAAAGAGCCAATGGAAGGCAGCTTTTTTTGGAAGAAGGCGTAGAGTTATTTGACAGGCACATGGGGCTGCATTTTCTCACACTTCCCCATGAAGGGAAGCCTGTAGCACAGATTTTAGTATCACAAGACTGCAGTTACAACAAAGGAAGAAAAATCTGAAATTGTTTTAATGCAACAGTATGTCAAGTGCAGTTCTGGTCATGTGTCTGCACGTGTACAGGAAAGTGGTCCCGTGGTAATAAATGTTCTCACTGAGAGAGAAGCAAATGTGTGAATGCGAGGTACACATCAATGCTGTGTGCAGGTTTAGACAGACAGTGGCTTTTTAAGAAATCCCTCTGTTTCTGTGTGGGGGCTGAAAGTGCACACCCCAATTCTGCATAGGAAGGAGGATTTAGTAATGGCCTGATTTTAAAGCTTTTGTTATTTCTCCTTTGAGCAGGTCTAATCCAGCCCTCTGGTCCAGGCTTTTAGCTTCCTTTGGGGACTGCAGGCTGGGGCTTTTCATTGTTTGCTGAAACAGACATTTGGACGCTTTCCCTTCCTGGAGCACATTTGCTTTTAGCACTTTTAATACTTGCTTTGTCCCAAACTCAAACTTGTCCTGTTTTGTTTGCTGCTTTTTTTTTTTTTTTTTTTAAACCTTGATTCAGCAATAGCAAAAGCCTGATGCCTGGGAGCACTCAGTCTACAAAATTTCTTTTCCTCTTTTACTAACCCCAGTTCCTACTGTTTCATAGAATAGATTTCTTTTTTGTCCCCAAGAGTAACAAGAATCCACAAAACTCATGTATGAGAGCTTCAAAGCCCAGCACTCAGGACTTTCCTGTGAACTCTACTGTCCATGTAATCTAGTGTTTCAAGAAATCATGCACCTTTCTCTAGCCAAGTCACCCAAGTTTCCATTGTAGCGAGCCACCTGGTTTGTCTTGGGGAGCTTTTACAATAACCTACAGACATGCACTGCCAGATGGTCTAAATTTTCTCAATCAGCTGAGGGTTGTCAGGACACAGGCTCCATGTGGATGCCAGATGCAACTGGTGTCCAGTCTCCTAACTGGTTATCTCATTATACAGAGCTCTCACTCTGGACAAAAGAGGAAAGAAATGCAATCTCAGAGAGCAGCAACCAACCCCAGGGCTCTGCTCGCCACCTTTTGTGTGGTGGGATCCCAGAGAACAACCAGAATCCCTAGACTCCAGACACACAAGTGACTAGTTTGGACAAAGCAAGATGGAAATCTTGGTCACATTCCTATGATTGGAAATGGCAAGACATAAAATGCATGGAAAAAGTTGTAATTAGTCAGCCACAGTCACTGCAGTTACCTAAAATATCTGTGGCACGTAGAAATCAGTTTCCATGGATTTTTCTCCATGAGCAGGAGGGCCCCAAACCCTTCCCACCTAGAGGCTGCTGCTTAACACCTTGAAATAAGCACAGAAATTCTGTGTGCTGGGTAAAAGAAATTATCTACACGTGGGGCTACTGCAGCTCTGTGCGCAGCCCAAGTATGCTGGTGCGGTTCAAGGCTGAACTTCTGAACCCTCATTGAACTTTTTCAGTCCGTCTCTTGTTTGGATTAAGAGCAGAAGGCAGCGGGCTACAGACTGTGCAGGAAGCATTCTATCAAAGTGCTGGCAAGACTGCCTCCTCTCTGCCACATCCGTTCCCTTGACACTTCTTGGTTTTGCTCACCTGCAGCCACTCCAGCTCTTTGCTCTTTTGAATTCACATGCTATGCACACACAGTTTCCATACAGATGAGAGAAAACACAAGCTGCTGGAATGAAACACTGATAGCAGTGAAATCAGATTCTGCTCTGAGGGATGAGAGATGTCTGCAGAGCCTGAGAACTTTATAATTCATAAGGAGCTCATATGGAACCTGCCTCTTCCCTGACACATAGCAAATTCTCCAGTTCATGCGGAGGAAGGACTGACCTGGATATTAGCTGTGCCAATTTCTGTTCTTCCAGTAGGAAGCTGAAAATGGAATAGTAACTGAGAACTTAAAATCACATACTCCACATGTACAGCATGTCTTGCTGACAAGAGTACGGGTGACTCAAGGAACGTGTGACATCCTTCAGTCTTTTGGAAAAGGGAACAACTTCTCAACATTATACTTTAACCACCAACAGGGGCCTACCAGAAGAAGAAGAGTGGTATATTCACGTTAAGAAAGCATCTAGATGATGGCCTGAACTTGGTGTCTGTTCTGGATAGTTAATCCACAATATCCACGCAGTAAACTCCATGCTGTAAACAAAACTGCTGAGTTGTTCAGGTTTCCACTCCTGGAAAGCAAGTACAGGAGTGTGGCCTGCAGCTGTACTTGACAGCTTCCCAAATTGGTTCTGGTGTGCGGTGGCCTGCACATACGACCCTGGAATCTGCAAACAGCCTGTCACTCCACACAGTGTTGGTGTAATCCTTGAAAATGTCCTCAACCTCATGGGCTAGTGACAATATTTTGTTGCTGCAGCACTTTACCAGAACATGCCAGGCAGGAGCATAAATGGACTCAAAAATAAGAAGTAATAACAGGAAGTTATGAAAGGGAGAATTCAGACAGGCTGAGGGAACAAGCTTTGGCTACAAGACAAGTTTGCTTGTAGAATCAACCCTTGGAAACAGTGAAAGCCCCAGACTGGGCCAAATAAATGAACCATAGGGACTAATTCTGTAATGAAAGGGGTAATCTTCACTGGTTTCATGCCCAAGTTCTGTAGATAAATGTTATGAAAGAGAGGGAGAGGACAATAGACTGAAGAGTTTACGGATGATGCAGAAACTCTGATGGCCATATTTCTAAAGAAGAGCCCACAGCAAATAAAGCAGTTAAGCAATAATACTCATGAGCTCTCATCATCAAAAACAAATCAGGCAGAATGTGAAAAGAAAGAACTAAATCCAAGAAATGAGGAATGCCACAGTGGGTCTTACCTGTACAGTGTTCCAAATGCAGGGAGTAGAACAGAGAGCTGTGGAGTGCCTCTCAATTAAATTCTGACCCCAAGCTGTTCCACACATCACCCACTACCACGATGGCCAGTGTGGCTCAAACTGGCATTCCACTTTCATGTGGTACCTTCTTTTGCAGTTCCCCATCTCCTTCTCTATGTTACATTACATCCTGGATGATGGATGTGATCACATACACTCTGTGCTAGAGCTGCATGACCAAGAACAAGCTGGGATCAAAAGCATTCTGCTTTTACTCTTGCATCCCAGAAACAGGTTAACAAATGGGGTCAGCTGCCTGTGAAATGACCCAGTACAAAACAGGTAAATTCTTACCAATATGCAGACAATTCTGGGGAATGTAAGAGAGAATGTCTGAAGTATGTACAATGGAAACAATAAAACAACTTCAGAAATATAACAGTGATTCTGCTTGTAAGCACCAGAAAAGCACTTTCCAGAAAAGCAAGAAATCCAAACTTCACATCAATAGATCAACTGCAGGGCAGCATCCCTGATCCTTGTTAAAAGAGTGGTCAGGGCTTTCTAGAGGAGATAGAGAGCAGAAGAATCTATTTCAACACTACACACAGAGCAGACCCACTGATGGTGGAATGAAGAAGCCATTACTGCAGGATGAGTTGGAGAGTACATAGGCTGGTCAAACTAGTGCTAAGGAATGTTCATTACCTGTATTCTAGTCTTGAAAAGCTTTAACAAGTAGCCCAAGATGCAATCTGATACAACTGCACATTACATGATCGCTCATTTTCTCCCCACTGACATTCCCAGGGCTACAGTAGCAGTGCAAAATAAAGCAGCTCCTTCTTATTTAAACAGAGATAAAGACAACTACAGCAGTCAATAATCTCAAGAAAAGCTCAATCTCAAAGATTTGGAAAATTGTTCAAAACAGCACCTACTATGATAGGCTACCTGTGCTTGAAAACCCAGCAGGCCTCAAGTGCTGGCTCCCTTGCATTTGGAATTACCACATGTTGAGTTCATTCCCGCTTACTATGGCCTCACAAAGACTTCAAGAATGGTTACATAGGCAAAGGGAATGTAAGCTTGGACAAGTCATTTTCAGAAGAAACTTCCAAGAATAACTCTGTCTTCATTCCTCAAGTAAGTGCTGGTTAAAAGTCTACAGCATGCACAGGTACCCTTCCAAACTTGCAGGGGCACCCTGCTCCTGTAGGGCAGGAGGAAGGAAGTAATTAACTCCTGCTTCAACCAATGCCAGCTACGGTTCCACAGAACCGTAAGTAAAGTAAACCGTAAGTAAAACTCTCAGAGAGGCACACTGGATAAGATTTCCAAGGAGATACAGATTTTCCCCTTCCAACAGACTGAGAAGTTAATGCTGTAAAGACCACAGATGCACTCCTGAAGTACCCCTACACTCTACCCTGGTTCCAGCTCCATCATTACCAAAGCTTTCAATCAAATTTATTGATCCCTTCCATTGTCTCCATTCAGACCCCAAAGACTGCCTATTTCACTGCTGTTCCACCTCCTCAACAATAGCTTTGTTCTTTTCCTCCATCGTCTGCAATCTGCCTGTTACATTTCCTTGCTGGAAAGAAAAAAATCATGTGGTGTAAGGTGGGACTAGCAATACAACAGGAAGGTGTGTATATTAATCATTAATTAAAATCTCTTAATTTTAGAGGTGGAAGCACCTGCTTCCATGTAGAACACGTCTTGAGGTATTTCTGTTCTCGCTAAAATTCTAAACAATAATTTACAAAATTCAAGGCATTAGACCTGGAGTCCTGGTGCGATTCCAGCAAGATACAGGATTTATCACTTCCTGTCTCGACCCAGGGTTGCTGTGTGAATGCTAACTAGATAATGCGCTACACTCCACAGCTGCTGGATAGATGCAGCAACTAAAGAACCCCAAAGACTTTTAAGATACAGGAACAAAGAGTCAAAGTATCTGATGGAAACAAGGCTGCACCAAACGTAGAGTCCTCCAGTTTGATTCTCCCCAGTACTCAGTGCACAGCCTGACAGCATCTCAGGGAGCTTTTCAAGGGCCTGCCTCAGATCTCCACTGCAGAGCATTAGATCTGAAATGCAGGAAGGAGTCTCTGACTGCCCCAAACCCTGAAGCCTAAGCTCTCCCAGCAACAGCCCCATGGCCTCTGGTAACCCTATGGCTTGCTAATGCAGGGTTCATAAACCGCTCTGACATCCCCATGGAAACAGAGTGTGAGGCCATAAACAGGGGATTAGCACCTCCTAACGCTGAGCAAAGCGCAGAAGGCGACAGCAGCCTTTAGGTTCGCCCCCAAGGCCAGGGGCCATTCAGTCCTGGGAGGGGGAAGACAGCCTGTTACACAGGAAGGGCAGGCTGAGGACGAATCACAGCTTGCAGTCAGAAAGGGCAAATGGAGATGGAGCACAGTAAAACAAGCTTCTGTCAGGCCCCTGCTAGCTGCTCACCCCAACACATTGCTGGTACCCATCCTGAGCACCCTTTTGTCCCAAGTGCAGTTGGGGGCTGGACACTGAAAGGCTGAGAGAGAAGGGACTCTCTATTCTGGACACAAGAAGGCTCAGAGAGAGTCTTATCAGTGCTTATAAATACCTGAAAGGAAGGTACAAAGAAGGCAGCCAGGCTCGTCTCTGTGGTGCCCAGCAAAAAGACAAGAGGCAGTGCACACTAATTGAAAGAAATGTCATCCATATTTAAGAAAGTACCTCCTTAACTGTGAGTGGCAGAACTCTGGAACAAGCTGCCCAGAGAAACTGTGAATGGTCTACCCTTGGAGATATTTAAAATTTGGCTAGGCATTCTTGGTTAATCAGCAGTAAGTGACCCTGCTTGAGCAGGTGAGGACTAAATAGTCTCCACAGTACCTGTTCAACCTCAACTGCTCTGTGATGCTGTGACTCCATTTCTGTGGCAGCTTTTTATGTCTGTCCTACTGAATATTAATGAACAGGAGGCAAGTGAGGCTGAAGAAGGGAGGGCAGAGTAATGTGTGGCATTCATTATGTGGGGACAGACTGATTGAACGAGATGCAGTTTGTCCTTAAAAGCCTAATGAAAGAACTTCATGACAGTGGACACGTATTCTTTGTAAGACCTGCTGTGTAAGGCATGTTCTAGCCAGTTATAAAGAACTGCTTTTTCTCTTCTAACCTACTCCTGAAAAAGAGACATGGAAAGACAAGAATATTCACCTGTTCAACTTGGTTTTCCTGGGAACATGCCCTTCAGGAAGTAGAGGCCTGTGGTTTGGCAGCAAACCTGAGATAGAAAAAGAAAGGTGTGAGAATACAGTGCCTGTGTTGCATCTATAGCATCTACAAGTTACTTATACCTCATAAGCCAGGCAACCCAGATCCCTACTGCTAAAACACAACTAGAGCAGAAAAAGTATTTATTCTTTCTTTCGTCATTGCTGAACCAGCACTCTAGCCACAGATTAGTTAGGAGGTTCTGGTGTACACACTGAGAGGAAACACATGCCAAGGACTTAGGCTCAACAGAACGGCTTTTTGAGAGAACATAAAGCACTAAAGTCCAATCAGATTCCACTTTCAGGATGACAATTTGACTATTAAAATCTTCAGTCAATTTAACTTGGATAATACTCAGACTGTGTTAACCTGGGATCTGCTCCCAGTTAAAAACAAAGAACTTCCCAAGGCAGATAGGAGACAGGTACATTAATGGGTAGAAAATCAAGCTTATGCTAAAACATGTCAATTTAGAAACTGGCATTTAATCATTAGGTACTATAGACTGAGATTTCCCACATCCTTCAGCAATGGTAGACTCATCTAGGAGTAAATATCTACTGCTAAGGCAGGAACCAAGACAGAAAGAAAGCAGAGTAAGTAGTTTCTTTCTGGTCAGTCATCCTGCCCCTGTACTAGGTGCATAATGGGTTTGCTGACTAGACACTGAAATCTCACCAGCATACTAACTGGGTGAGAGAGCCCTTTCATGGGGCTCTCTGCCCTGCACTAAGGATGTTGTCTGAAGGAGGAGGTGAGGTACCTGCACGGTGTGCCATCTGCACACAGGCGGCAATCTTCTTGTGCTCCTCCAAACAGAGGCCTGTGATCCTTCGTGGCAGCATCCCTCCATCAGAACGGATGAACTGGCTCAAGAGCAAGACATCCTGCAGAAGCAAGAAAAGGGCAAAACCAATGTATTACAGCTCCTTTAATTGCCGTGATTCTTAGGTGTTGTGCTCATGCTGTGTACAGAACTCAATACAAAGCAAACCAAAACAAAGCATACTTCCCACACATCTCAGATGCAGCTTGTCAACAAGTGGGTTTCGCTAGCCATCGCTTTGCCCGCCAGCTTAACTCAGTGAGGTCACTAACATGGTCTGAGTCTTCCCCTCACTTCATTACTGTAAACACATGATGTCAGCTTCAATCCCTACTACTTCACTGTCACTTGCTCCAAGATTCTGGCTAAGATAATGTGTCCTAGGTACTGAGGCACAGTTACACAAGACCTACAGATGGACAGTGTTTACACAACTTGAAACGCCATTACAGCTGCTATCCTAAAGGTCACAGATACGTTAGATCACCTCTGGCCCTTTCCTTGTTCCCCTCAGAGCAGGATTGTTCTCTGGTATCTATTCCTCAAACTTTTGTCCAGTTTCCCATGGTAGAACTTCCCTCATGTCTCTCTGGAGGGTGGAGAACAGGGAAACAGTCCAAAATCTTGCACGAAAAGCTTGTTGTAAGAAAAGAACATATGCTGATAGGAAAGACCTAATAGAATAAATCACCGCTTTCAGTTCTTTGCCTGTGTATGCATTAGTCAGAGATGTTAGAGTCACACTGCACAGAAGGAGTATTCAAAACATACTGAGGGTTTGGCTGAGATTCAAGGATCATTTAGATTAAACTGCTGTTGACCTTCTTAATTAAGAGCTCTAGAAATGTAAAGCACTTTTAATAAAAACAAAATTAAAGGAATCTCTAGAATCAGATATTATCACAGGTCTGAGATTACAAATTCCTAAGCACAGCAGCAACAGCTGTTGCATGAGTGTCCCATTAACTGCACACAGTAAACCAGTCCAGCTCTTCACTTCCACACGCACCACCACTGCTAGTGCACCCTCAGACCTACATAGGCAGGTCCCCTTGACGTGCTGATGTCTGCATAAGTTGGCCTGAAGTGCTTCTGGGGCCTTTGTCCTGATTTTTCTCCATCTGTTCACAGACTTGTTGCTAACTGAGAGTTTACTTCTCCAGTACTATAAACACGTCCATAGTTGAGGTAGCTGGACCACGCAGAGGTGGCTCACAGGCTGGAAGGGACGTGACAACAGACACTTCAACATGCTGGGAATTCAAACCAGGTATATCAGCACTTGATACTCCTCTGCCTGTTTGAGGAGTATCCTTCTCCCTTTTCCCACTCCACATCTATTCTATTTTACACAAAGCTCCCTGAAACATTCCTTGCTTCATTTACTGCCACTGCAAAGACATACAATCACAAGTGGAATAAAAATGGGCATTCAGAAACTTGAGCTATATTGGATTTATAAATCCACCCCTACTGCATGAGACCAGTTAACCTCTGAAGCGGGCTGCTAGAATTCAGTACAAACTTTCTAGTAATAACCAATTCTGCAATATGAGATGCAGTTATACAAATGCTGCAGTCAAAAATCCAGATGTTTATTTTTCCCCAATCCTATCTTCACTATTGTGATCATGACAATTTCCCTCTTCCTTAGCTCCCCTTCTACCAACTAACACGATCAGGCTGATTTTCAGATCCATCTCCTTCATTTTATAAATACAAAATGACTTATCATTCACCATCCACGGTGATGCTGTATCATTAGAACAAGAATAACATAGCTGAGCAACGAGCAGGAAGCTCTCAAGAGGCCATCTGTAGATAAAAGGGAAGAGAAGTGTCTTTGGTCCAGCTAGTACACTGCCTTGCCAATGAGAACAGTAACCAGGGGATCAGTCGGTGCCAGCTGCGTTGGTGGAAGTTGGGCAGGGGCCAGCCAAGCAGTCCAAGGGCACTGACTTTCAGCCACTCCTGAAATGCACTGGATTGGATCCAGGAAACCTAAACAAGACTCCTTCCCCCTTTTTCCATCTTCTTTAGCTACCCAGTTCTCCAAATCACCAACACCTCAATTTGCACAAACATATCACATCCTTAAGTGAGAAAGGGCTGTTCAGCTCAAAGTGCCTAGGAAATGAAAAACCCCCTAGGCTTTTCTACTAGCCTGCATTACTCTGTGGGAAAGAGGGAAAAGGGAGATGATGGCAAGTTTAAGGCTGTTCCAGTCTTTGCTACAGTGAAAGCCTAAGGAGGCCACAGGCTCTAGTGAAGGGTGTGTGTGGTCCAAGTGCTTTCTCATATTACCACCACGCCTCATGGAGTCACAGGGCTGTTATCGAATATTTCCATGCAAAAGGGGGAGGTGAAAAGTAAAAAGGGAGACAGTGCTTGTTCTTCCACTGGAAAAAAAAAAAAAAATCAGGAAAATCCATTCTTTGTTATTATCTCTGAGCAACAGTGTCACCAGCTGACCAGCTCTGTGTGGCAGTCATTTCTCAAGTGAAATTGCCTACGTTCTAACTGCCACAGCTTCAAATCACACTCATGCCATTTGGCTTAAAATGCTGCATACTCAACAGAAGGTTTGTCTGTTTCTGAAGATTCCCACAGTTAACAGACCAGGTGCCTGGTCTCCCATCGTAATCACACAGATGCATCTTACCACTGGGAGAAAGCAGACAGGTACAGCCAACTTTATGGGGCAGCTGTGGAGGGAAGTGTGCAAGTAAGTAGAAGAGTCAAAGAAAAAAATATGTCTGGCACGTTCTCATGGTGCCGTCATGTTCCATGAAATTCACATTCTGTGCTAATGGACAGCCAAGCCTGTAACCACAGCTTTGCTTTAATCACTGGACAGCTCCCACGAGGCTGGACCCAGATTCCCACCCCAGTAATCTGCAGCATTTGATGAAAACAACTTGGATTGAATTAATCTAGGGCTAACAGGCAAATTTTGCAGTTCAGTTTCCTCTAATTGCTGCTAAAGCAAAATGACATATTTACTGCCTAACTCCGACTAATGATGGTTGAAATGGATAAGGAGAAAAAGAAAAAGAAAAAGAAAAAAGCAGCTTAGCCTTCACCTCTACACCTCTAAAAGATCTGGGTAAACTTGCTATCCGTTCACAATAATGTGCTATACGTTGTGTTTTGTTTAGCAACTGAAACGCAGAGGCATCTCTGCATTTTACTATCTGCAGACAATCTGAAAAGAAATGTCCTTGGCGAGTTATATGCAATTCATTAAAACCTTCACTTACCAGAGTAAGATTTGTCTGCGTAGCCAAATTACTACTGGGTTGTACCAGCCAAGTCATTATTTCCAGTTACACAAGAATATACTTCTTCCTTTCACTCTTACTCCTGGGAGCTGTACACCATCCTCTAGATATTTTGTAAGAAGAGTGAAGATTTCAACCCCGTTGCCTGACAGTGATCAAAATCATTTTATTTTTTAAAATCTCCAGTGGCTACAGAAAATAAAATCAACTCTCAGTTTTTAGTGGATAGACATACCCAGATCACAAACTGTGGGAATTTGTGCCTCGGGCCCCTTTATCCTGAGCCTAGCAGAGACTAAGGACTGAACTGGCAATGACAACTGCAGCTCCCTACACCACAGCTGAGGCAAGTTGGAATCATGACCCGAGAGTGCTCACAATGCCTGTTTGGTTGATTAATAACTTAGGAGACATTGGTCCCCCCGTTCTACGACAGCTAAAGTAACTCATTATGCCACTACTTTAGACTGTGCTAGTTGCCCATCACAAAAGAAAAGTCCTATGAGGTCATATTACTCAGCTCCCTCAGGGGCTAATTCAACACTTCCCTTTTCATAGTGCCTTATTCATTCCAATTACAAGCGTCCCAAGCAAAAAAGCTCACACTTTCCCTTCTGTGCAACTGACTGATCTCAGCTTATCAATCTCAAAAGAACCACTGTGATCCATCTATTTTAATCTCTTACCAAACACAGGTTATAGTTTACGCTTTATAAACTAGCCTGTGTCTTTAACAAAAATAGCTGTTCTCGATTTACTGTCTTTTAGGATAATTCAACCACCAGCGAGTAAATTGTGCCACCATTTAATTACCCACACAGTAATGTGTCTGCCCTTTATTGTTTGAGCACTTCAAGATTCTGCTAGTCATCACTGCTGTAGCATAGGAAAATAGCAGAGAGCTTTTGTGCAAAAAAAGGGAGGTTTTATTCACCGTAACATTTAAAAGCCCATACATTCTCAACTGGCATTCAAACATATAACACACTTATTCAAGCAGAAGAGGTGATCTACTCCAGAACTGAAACTTTCCTAGTTCACATCAGCCCTGGAATTCCGTGGAGGAACAGCTCTAAATACTGAGGCAGGAACATGCTACAACTTGGATATGCTAGTTCATGCTACTATCTTCAGCCTTTTGTCTAGATTCTATTCTGCTCTGCAGCAGGAGTACTGGATGTATATACTCAGAAACATAAACATTCAGCAACTATGCAACAGTCAGGATGGACACGTATCTAGGATTTCTTGATTTTTGGGAACAGTCTCAACAGTGATTCCAAATACTCTGGCTGCAGGTAGCCCCCACCTGGGGGCTACACGCAAGCCAGGCCTCCTGCTCTGTACCTAATTCAATGCTTAAGTTATTTCTGTTGCTTAAATATGTATCTGTTTAATTTGTTTTTTTTTTCCCTGTTGCCTTGCAGTAGTCATCTGCAAGACTGTCATTAGTACCCAGATATCCAAACAGTTTTTCATCTCTGCGTGCACTAGGACTGAATGTGAGCAGCTCAGTCATTGTGCAGCTAACAGGGCTTTCAGTTTCTCTCACATTAACTGTCTTCCTTTCTCAAAAGTATTCATTTTCCTCCAGATGTATTTGTATCTCTTTCACCTTAATCCTACTGGCATTAACTTGTTCTGACTTCTCTGTTACCTAATCTTAGTAACAGGATGTTCTTGTCTGGTTTTCTTTTTTGATTCCAGCACTGGTATTTTAGGGTGGTGGGAACACTTAGTTCTTTTATGACCTCTGTGTTTGAATGACCTCTGGCGAGGCTACATCTGGTGTCTTCTACCTCATACTCTCTATTCTATGGTGCTTTTGCTTTAAAAAATTACAGAGTTTCCCCTCTATCTTCCACGTTTAGTGTTACTAATACTCTCATAATCATTTCCTGCAAAAGACATCAATCAAAATCTGTTTTTTTTCTGTTGCTAAGGGGAAAGGGAAGTAAGCATGTGTGCTCTACCTCATATCCATCAAGAACTTTAGAGTTCTTAAGTTCAGTTACTACCTTAGTGGACAGTGATCCAAAATGAAACCATGGTGCTCAAATACACAATTGATTTAATCAAGTTTATTGGCCTCTCTGGCGTTACAACAGGCTTGAATCTGATAGTTTAATATTGCATTCCAGTTCCATTTAACTAGAAGTGCAATGCTGAAGGAGAGCTAAGCACACTAGAAACACATGCTCTAGGATCAGATGGTAAGCAGTAATGGGCACATGCATAATCCCAAACCTCCTATCGATATGAGAAAATCCCCCTCCTTTTTTTTTTCCCTCCAATGAACACGACCAGCCAAGGCAAGCAATTACAATGTAGGAAGTTATTCTTGTTACAATCAAAGGAAGCATAGATGGAATTGCCTACTTTTACCACATCCAGGGAGAGAAGAAAGGGGGCAGACTGCACAGTACATTACACCCGAGAGCAATATTTATCCACCTGTGGGGAACACTACTTCATTAGACTTACCACATAATCGTACTTATGCTTCAGGTTCCAGCGACAGATAGGACACTGGCCAGAGGGGTTAGGAGGCGTTGGTGTTTCAACATCCTCTATAATTTTCCCTTCAATCTAAGAAGCAATTCATAGAATACAATGAATGAGTAAAGATTCCATAGTACCTGCACCTAACCTGCTCTGTGACTTGAGGAATATCTTTCATCAAGTCTAAAACATGCCGACCAGTATTGCACAGGTGTAAGGGAGACAGGATTTGCATTATACAACTCACTTGCATATATAAATATATATACAAACACACACACACAAATCAAGCACTTCGGGAATGCAAAGACAATAGGGATAAAAGAAAAGGGGCTCAGAAAACCATTTGGTAAATCTTACATATATTTTATTCAAATCTAAACTAGTACACAACGTGAAGTTCTCATTCTTGCTTGAATTCCACTTATTGTGGTATTCCTTTGAACCACTATGCCTTGCAATTGTAGCAGTCTGTTAGCCAAAAGCCTTAAATATTTTTGCTGGGAATATGAGAATATCAGAGAGTAGCAGATACATGCTGTGGGCCAAAACACGCATAGGCTTGCTGGATTATAAACCACCAATGGGGAAAATTATGAGGAAAAAAATCAGACAGGAATGTTGTGTGATTTTTTCATTCTTTTTAAAATTACACCAATATTTTTTCTAGTTCAATTCCCTGAACAATTCCTTTGGGCAACTATTTTACAACCTTTTCCTCTGTCACTACAAAATGGTGACATCTAACACGCAAATTTTCTTAACTTTCTCAAAAGAAATGTAGAAAAATCCAAAGAAATGTAGAAGGTGTACGTAGGAGGAACTTGAGAAATTTGTTTTCTAAATGTAGATGTTAGGAATATGATGTCTACATACACAAACGTGTACTTGTCTTTCTTTTTTTTTTGAGGGCTTATATGAATAGAAGCAAGAGCTATCAACTTGCAGCTGAATGGACAGAAAAGACAAAAAAGACGAAGTCAGTTTTTCTTCAAAATGTTCTGGAAGAAGAAAATTTCTGGTCAAGATTAAAACCACATATGGAACACCAACTGCTAGGGTCAAATAGTTCAAGAAACAGAGTTTAAAAAAATCCCAACTATCTAATTAAAGTCTGCCATACTGTGGATGAGCACAACTTTGCTTGTAAGGAGAAAAAAAAAAAAAGCTGTTTTATTTTGAATTGTCAAGTTCTGGGTCTGAAAACCTGGGAAGAAAAAAAACATGCCATTTTCTCTAAGTATGTGTGGGACACTGGTATTCATCTGAAATGCCATGATGTAAGATATTAGACCAAGCACCTTTTTTGTCTAGTGATGGCAAATGAGTAGGTTATTTGTGGCTGAAGCACCTCCGTACCTCAAAAAGAGGGAATATTCTCGATTTTTACTTAAGACTTCTTCTCCCACAGTTTCAACAGAAAGTTTTACATTAATAATAATAACACACATGCACACACTGACCAGCATTTTAGATATATCTAAATATCTATATATCTCTATATATAAATAAAATACAGGTCAGTATCTACTTTCCATTTGTTGGTAAAATGATTTCTGGGGAAGCCAGTATGTCTGATTCCCTCAGAGTCTCATTGATTCTTGGCAGTCTGACTTCAGACTGTACTTTGACTGTAATTTCATCTCACAAGTGAATGAGAAAAAATATAATCAGAATGCTACATCAGTTTTTCTTGACACAATTTCAACACACAGGTTTGGGTAATTATTGACCAATAACTGAGGGCTATCATACTGTTACGCCACTGAGTTATTATTCTTCTGTTACAGGACTAAGAATGAGTACAAAGATTTGATGTTCTCAGTATGCTGATGAATTCTGAATTCCTTTAGGGTTCATTCATCTGGCTCATACACAACACTTCCTTCAATACTGATTAAAGATAAGAGATTATAGGAAGATGAGCACACAGACGGATTAAGAAAAACCTGATGTTGAGCTTGTAGGAAAAATGGAGTGACCAGAGGATATGCTAAGAAATGCATCAGCCCTTTAGCTGATCAATTTACAAGATACAAGAATCAAGTTACAAGATTTTCTCATCTATGACCGTGGATGAATCATAGGTTGATGCATTATTATTGATGCATATTATGCAGAAGTATCCAGATCTTCCCCATGATGCACAAAGAGACAGGAAGCTGAGACTTCTTTTTTTTCCTAGAAGACTCTGCTAGTGTAAAAAGTTATACATACAAGTAACCTACTCCATTCAAGTTTCAAACATGGCAGTGTCCTCACATCCAAAGATGACACAAAGGAAACTCAGACTTTTAAGCGTATAAACAGTCAGTTTTTGCCCATTTCACTAGGAAGAAAAAGTCCCTTCAATCCTTATTTATATATAATTCCTGCTCTGCTCCCCCAGTGATATTTAAACACTTTCAAGTATCTGTACTGTCTGTCTACAAGATACATATCGTTACTGGTATACGTAATATGAGCAGATTAATTGAATTTTGCTCCCCATCCTTATTTATTTCAGCACTTTTTCTAAACACCAATAATTCTCTTGATAAAGTACAACAGATCAGATGGCATTAATTAAGCAAAATGCTAATTCTAGTGCTTTGATGTTTTTCTCTCACATATTATAGCTGAGAAAATGCTCTTCTTTTTTTTTTTTTTAATCAGATACCTCAAAACCTGTTTATTTTCAGAAGCAATATTCTTTGAGCATCTAGAGTCTTCCTTTTGACTACAGCTCTTCTACTGATTTTTTTTCTCATGGGACGCATTATGAAAGGCAAGCTTAACACCATGAGCAGCCGGTAAGGCACATACTGTGACTAACAAACACAATGCACGTTAAAGGCAAGCAGCACACACGTGTCATACAGCTGGCACTGAACAGCTCTGCACTCAGGCAAACTTTTACCATGCCTGTTCGTGCTAACCATGGGGCTGAGATGACACCAAGTGTCAGGGCTCCCAGTTTTATCGGGTATTGCCACATAAGAGGTCAGGGTAGCTCTCACTGGAGCCCTCCATCACCTCACCAGCAGCAGGGTGACGACCCAGGCTTGCTGTGGCCAAACCATTTGTGTGGCCAACCAGCTTAACTACACTTGTAACGCTCTTCTTCCTTTGTTTGGCCTTCACAGGCTGCGATGTCGTTTGGGCAGAAAGCCGACCCTTTCACCCTCCCCTTTTGGAACCAACAGGCTTATTCCCTTCTGCAGAAGGAATTAACAGCACGAGCTGCAAGTGGGAAAGAAGTAGAGACAGAGACTTACTATGGTCGTGTTGCCTTCAGTCACTTCCACGACTACACAAAACAAAAATAAAGGAGAAAAAGACAAGAAATCAAAATGAGACTCATTTCTCCTTAATAAAAATTAAAAAAGAAAAAGAAAAAAGCGGTAAGTGGTGGGGTGGTGGTGAAACAGAGCAATGTTCCATCGCGGTGCGAGACCAGAGCGAGAGGGCAGCCCGGGGACCGGAGAGATACAGAACGATCCCGGAGCACTGCCCCGACCCTCGAGCAGCCCTTCGTCGACGGCCACTCCTGCACTCACCCTCCCGGAGGGTTCTGGCCGGTGGTGAAACCCAGCCGCTCCCCCAGAGCCCGGCGAACAGCCGCCTGAACGCCCCGCGCACCAAGCCGGGTGCCGCCATCTTGTCGTCGCCCTCGCTGCCGTCACTCCCGCTTCCGCCGGCGGAAAGGCGGGCTCTGGGGCGCCATGTTGAGGCGCGGCAGCTCCCCGCCCTTATCACCTGAGGGAAAAGAGTAGTGCGAAGTGAAGGGCTGCTGCCGTTTTGAGGTTCTCCTGACTCTTCAGTTGATCTATAGCAAAGTGCATTCAGTGAGTTTCCTCAAATTCTTGTTTGATGACAATAAATGTGTGTTGATGCCATTTGCTTGTGCCAGTGGTCTACAGTGCTCATGCAAAACATTGTGTATATTTTTTCCAAGTTTCTAGCTAAAATGCGATGTGAAATATAAATTGTGACCTAAATGTAGTATACAACAAAATGGGTAATGAACTGTGATCATCCCACCTCAGGAGTTCTTTCATCACCTTCCTTTTGTTTGTTACGCTTGCTTCTTGTTACAATACAGTTTGAAAGCAAATGCCTCTCAAAGGGCTACATTTTCTGTTTTTGTACTCCTTGATAAAACCATGCAGGTTCTTCAGGTGCTGTCATCATCTCTTTAGTTTGTAGAATGGGTTACCAGATGAGAAAATTACTGGAAATCCCTCTCTGTGGTAGTTCTAAGTTCGCAACTCCAAGACTTTTCTGAAGTAAACAGAATGAAGGCAGGGCTTCTGACCAGACTCGCTGTGCTCAATGTTAAGCAATGAAAACAGGGTCATCCCAGAAGATAACTATTCCTCTCTTGCTGAACTACGCTGTATAATGTCCTTTAGAAGCAGAGTGATTTTCAGCTTGTCCAAAAGCTTAGAAATAAGAGCCAAACAAAATAATCACTGCCATCCAGTCTGAGGATAATTTCCTTATGAGAAAAAGCAACGTTGCTAAACACTGTAGAAATGTCACATTTTTAAGATTTTCTTTGTATAGAGAATTTTATCCTAAATGAAAGGAGTTTGGCTGTAACAACCTGGCAGGAGAATTTATTCAGTGTCTTAAATTAAACCCAGTTTCCTCTATTTGTCTCATGTGAAGAGGAAAAGAAACTGACGGTTGGAACGCAGTGCTGGCTCTCCATGGTAAAGATAAGAAAACAGGGCTGGGTGCTGTTCAAGAGCTTTACCATGTCATTTGACTGTCAGTGATGACATTTAAACAGCACTGTAGGTTTTGGTCTGACAGAGACAACCAACGTGGTGATAGTTCAAGTAACATTGAACTCCACTTGCTTCTCTTGCCTGCAGAAAAGTGCTGTCCCTTATAGTGATTTAAGTGATGCATCTTTTAATGCAAAGAAGGAAAACAGTTGCTTTCATAAATAATTGTTTTTTTGTAGAGTGAATCCTCTCTATCTCCAAGAAATTTTCTTTGCCTTCCGAGTGTTTTCTAGAACCACTAGCAATGCAGACCATTTTGTCCAAAGGAGACAAATAAAGTTGGTGCCAACTTGGGTTGAAGCCCATTGTCTCTTTCCAAGTTTGGAAATCTGACATATTTCTGATTTTTTACAGATAATTTCTGAATGTGCTTATTTCATCAAGCTCTCATATTTGGGGGTAAAATAAAAAATAATCCTGAATACTGTGTGTGTGTACAAAAGAAAATAAAATGACTTGCTTTCTGCAAGTAATTTCATCCATGGTCTGTGTTTTGTCAGCACTGCAGAGGGTGGTCCAGTTTAGATAGAAGCACACGTTTCTAAGGAATGGAATGGGATGTCACTGACCGTTAAAGAATGAATGCTTTTCCTTTTGAATTAAAATTAAACCTGTGCTCACAAGTGGGGAGGAGGGGGGGAGGTTGGCAGAAGTAAAGAAGTAGCATATTTTAGATGAGAAATGTATGTCCTAATTGATTATGGCCTCTAAAGGTTTTATGGCTCTGTTCTCAAAGAAATGGTATTCTGAACTCCTTTGGGACTAGACGCTGTAGGTGTTCTATAAGCCTTTTTTTTTTTTTTTTCATACAAATTTGTGTTCTGCTTTTTGTTATTGTTTGGAAAATGGAGCATGTTTGCTTTTTTCTTATTTGCTATAACACATTACTACTTTCTGCTTCCAGCAACAAAGCAACTTTTCTGGTCCTTTGGGCATTTTTTGATCCATTGGATGCTAATAGATGTATATCTGCTCCAGAGCTTTACTTTGCAAATATCTTAGGAAGGCTGAGGCTGTTCCAATGAAGCAACATTAAAAGTCATAGAAATTGAGATGGAAAAAGCTACTAGGTCACACAGTTCCCACACAGGCCCCCCAGACCAGTGCAGGTTTGTTTCCAATGGTACATTTTTGGTGCTTTCCAGAAGGGGTCACTGCAGGTCAGCATTCACTTCATCCAACCGCCTGTCTCCCTTCCCCATTGAAAAATTGGGAAACATTCTCGATCTGGTGATGACTATGTTGCAAAATGTCTAGAATTTTTGTGACAGCATGTAGGTTGATGCTGAGCGATCAGAAGCGGAATAAATTTGTTCAAGTGCAACAACTGGTCATCTAAGCTTTTAAATGAGGAAATTTAGTGAGCTCTTCAAAATGGCTTGTTAGCCACACATGCTTATTAATTGCTACAAATCCTCAGAGCTGCAGCCACCCAGCTGTAAGGAGTAAGACATTCACAGGTTTGTCTGTTCAGGTAGTTAATACTTAGAAATATCACATTTTATAGTTAGATAAAAATAGCTCAAATAATTCAAATGAAACTACTGATTGGAAAAAAAAAAAAAACAAAAGGAAATAAAACTAATAAAAACAAACAATAACCCAGAAAACCCAAGAATCTGCAAAAGTGCCCTCCTGCACCCCCCCTCCCCCCTCCAAGTGTAGGTAAAAGAAGGGAATAATAAACAGTCATGTTGCACCAATACTTCAGTTCATCATTACTCAACCATTCAGAGCCACTGGGACACAAGGACCTCTGAAGATTGTCCAGTGTCGCAGCCTGTTAGAGATCAGAGGCTGCTGCAGGGTTCATCTCTTGCATGTGAATCAGGTGTCCTGGTTGAGAGTAGCCAAATGCTTGTCAGCCTGCAGAACCTATCCATTCCACAAATGAACAGCTAACCCCAACTTCTTGTATCCGTGTACTGGGAACTACCTTCTGAAACAGACTTGAGGAGGTAGGAGAGAATGATACTGGGACAGAAATTAATAATTTGAAGTGTGGGGAGGGATGAAAAGTTGGCTGGAAAGAAGGAAAAGCTGCAAAGAGAGCAGGAGTATAGAGCAACGCGATGGTACTCTAGCAGGAAAATGAGCAACTCACTTGGAAATAACATGTTTATATTTTTAAGGTTTCCATCTTTTCCCAGTGGATGTAGTTATTTTTCAAAGCAAAATAACCAAGTAATAATTTTATTATGTTTCCTTCCAATATTTCAGGCTTAGCGTAAACAAAAAAATCCACTGGGAAAATGAATCCAACTTCTTCTGCCAATATCGCTTCAGTTCTGTTTCTTCCACTACCTGCCTCTCTCCTTACATATTTTAGATGCTTCTATTCTCATACCCAGTATCTGTGGCATTACTATACCAGTTGAAATACGTTGGTGAAGACAGTTGTTAGAGGGAAAAGCCTTTAGGTTCAATGAAATTCACTTCTGATACAGAAATAGGAAGTTCTGAGATTTTCAGTGTTTAAAAAATATCAGTGGCTTTTGACATTTTGGGAATGTTCCATATAGGCAAGTAAGTCAAAACGATGGAAAATAACTGAGCTGCTTGCACTGAGATTTGATCTCTGGAAATTAATATTTGGGTTGCATGGAAGAATCAGAAGAAAAACTCTTTAACAACACCATAGACATCAGACCGGCAACAGTCCAAAGCTTTAATCTTTCCAGATGTTGTGTGGGCTTTTCTTTTTTTTTCCCCCAAGCCAGGTGAAGGAGAGCCTTCACAAAAACGCCATGAAAAATGCTAAATCTGTTAAGGCAGGGTTGGCATAAAGACCAATATTAAGTCTTCAGATACCTGAAATGCAAGCAATCCTAATTTGTGTTAAATGAAGACAGAAGGTTTATCAGGGCATTAAAACAACGTTTGTGTCGTCAGACATTTCCAGACAGAGCCGTAACAAATGCTCAGTTTGATTTCAACAACAGACATGTTTGTACATGGTGAGGATGGGCAGTAGAAGACCAGGAGTTCTCCGGTTCGTTCATCTGAGAGCAACCCTGTAGCAGTCTTTCACTGGGGAGCCTTGAAAGCCTGGACCAGCTGTCTGCATCCGTGTTTTGTGCTGTCGGTTGTAGCGTGTGCAGCCTTGACTCAGTTTCTCCCTTGTTGTGGCCAAAGCCCAAGGCTTACCTGATAGGCCTTGGAACAGTGTAGGCAAAACGAGTGATGCCCAAACTTTCAGCAAACTGATGTGCTGCCGTAGCAGCTGCTTCACTCAGTGTCTACTGTGGGTATACGTATAGTCCGTGTTCCCAGCATGTGCTCCAGAGCATGGGAGGATCCACAAGCACAGGTTCTGACCACTGGGGTTAAAATTTGCATGAAGCTGTGCTGGGCAGGCTCTGCAGCCTGTTTCAGTCAGGAATCAAACACTTATGCTTTCTTTCTTTTTTTTTTTTTCTTTTTTTCTTTTCTTTTCTTTTTTTTTTTTTGGTAAATGTGAGTCAGGACTGAAATTGTTTGCAATAGAGAGTGTGAGCTGGATCTATATTTTGTGAGTAGAGGCTCTGCCAGAATGACAAACTTTGCAGTCCCCCTCTTGCTTTTCTTCCTGTTTTTAACTCCATGAGATTGGAACGAGGGAAGCCCATGTTGTGCTCTGATCTTGGACCATGATGGGACGTGATGGAGAGATCTCCAGCAGGGTTTTCCTCTTATGGCTCCTCCAGCCAGATGGCTTCAATCTACTGACCAATTCTCTGTGCTTTGTGTGAGGTCTGCATGCAATTTAGATGGAGCCTGTTCTCAGCTAGTTTTGCCTTTTCTTTGCTCCCCCTCCCCCACATGCACGTAACATTCCCAACTGACCCTTTTTGTGCTCCCCTTTTTCTCTAGCCATTAAGGGAAATTATGCTGGCACCATATAACAAATATATCAGATGGATTTGCCTGAAAGCCCTTTGCTTCTGGAGCCTTTCAGTCATCAAACTCCTCTGGGTATTTTTGAGAAGAGTGCTCATTTAGGCAACTATGCTGTTGATGTGGTTCTCAGACTGGTATTTGTGATGCTGCTCTTTTCCAGCTGGTAAAAAGTTTAGAATGGGGCACCACTTGTCCACACCTATAGTTGCTGCTGCTCTGAGTCCTGACAGATTTGTCTTATCAAGATAACTCAGCTGTCTGAATCTTTGCACTCTGCAGACCTAGAGAGAACATGTATATATATATATTTGTGTTTTCAGATACTGTTCAGCGTGACAAATCTCAAATATGACAAATAAAAGCAGACACTGCCCTTCACACTGCATTTTATGACTTACACTAAAACGACAGTGAGTAGCAGACAATAGCAGACAGTCTTTCACGAAGACAGAAAACAACAGAAGAATGATAATGACAAGACAGTAGGACATCTCTTGTTTGTTTTGTTTACACCATCAGCAAATTTGTTTCCTGGATTGGTTTGTTGGAAAAAAAGATCAGATGGGCTGAAGTGGAGTTTTAGGTGATGACTGTTGATCTATTAAAAAGAGTTTTATTTCATCCCTAATCTGTTTTGCATTTTGTTGCACTGTAGTGCATTTTAGTGACCCTTACGTGAGTATCCAGGGGAATTTGTTGCTTTTGTTAATCAGTGGCTTGGAAGAGGGTTGAAAGCTGATGGGAAATAATAGCTGTCCTTTCTGCCAGTCAGGTGAAAACACAATATGCTCCCTGCATTTATGAGTTCTTAAAATGAATCACAGTCAGCTGGAAACTTAAGTGTTTAGAGACAACAAGAAGGGAAATTCCCCTGTGGAAGGAAGGGAATGGAGGTATTTCTGTGACACTGTTCACTTTACCTGGTACTTGGGACCATAGGGACTCATAAAGGCCTCTGTTATTTTGCTCAGCTTGAAGAGCTATTCCACTGATCTGGATTTCTGAAGTTATCACCAGGCAGGATTTCTCTTTGTGTTGTGTTTTTATTTTATTTATCGGTTCTTTCAGGGAATGACGTTCAGTGTGTGCTTGTATGAATGTTAATGACAAACAATTCCCTTTTTCATAGCTCAGTTATGGAAGAAAACTCCCCTCCTTGACCCTGAAAATACTTGTTTCTGGTATCCTGCAGACCTAGTATATAAACAAGAAGGACTCTGCCTTCTTTCCCCCCAAAAACATCAAAACAAAATGAAACTGTTAATTCTAATGTCACTGACCGAATCAGAGAAGAATATAAGCTTGGCATACAACGAGAAAGCTGAGACAATGCTTGGTAGAGATGAAAGTGAGATACTGATGGCCAGAGTTTAATTGGGTTTTCATAAAACATGCTGTTCTTCACAGTTTGGCTACCATCTGATAGCGTCTTTTTATGAGTCTGGCAAGTCAGTGAAGTTTCAAACCATTGGTTTGCAATTGGAAAAATGAAGCTGAGAGATATTCAGAAGAGCACTAGGCCTCTTTGTGTCTAATACTGAGAAGAAGCAATTCAGCTGTGAGGGAACGAGTGCCTCTTGCAGCCATACAAGTGCAGTTTAGCAGTAAATCAGCTCAGCTGCAGTCCTCACCACATGATATTCTTTAGTTGTCACTGGGGAGAATTCTGCTCATCTCCAGACAAGATTTTGCCTTGAGTTAATATTTATTTCCGTTTTTACAGATGTGCTGACCTGTGATGGATGGGGTGTGTTAACCTTCTTCTTTTTCACACCTGGTCCACACCTGTTTGGGATCTCATTCCCTGCCCTACTGGGCAGCAGCTCTTGAACTTTGCTGGGTCCTGGATCACAAGCCAACTGAGGGTGGTGAGCAACTTTGAAACGCTCATCCAGAGGGCTTTTTGTTTTTAAAGTCAGAGAGGTTGATAGGTTTTGTTTTGTTCTTGGGTGAATATTCATTCTCATGACAAAAACATTTCACAATAAGCTGTTCCCATTTGACAGCTCTTTGGCAGCACATGTGTGAAAAAAGTTTTTTTGTAGTCTCACTCCTAGTGGGCAAGAGTATTGCTGTTTCAAAAAGACATTGGACTTTCATTGCTCTCATTGATGGTTTACTCAAAGAAGTTATGGACTAAATATTCCTCAGAATCTAAACTCGCTAGGGAACATAAAAGCTGATCCCCTAGTGCACTGAAGAAACTTGTTCTTGTCATGCCTTTTCAGTTCTTTTTGGGTAGGAAGGGGACTTTGTTCTTCAGGGCTGTGGATTCAAGAGCATGAAATTCAATACAAAAATTTTGAGACAAAAAACAAATGGCATTGTTTAGAATCCTGTTATAGCATGTTTTTTTCATTTGCACTGCAGGGGATTTAAATAGTAGCATGTGAGCACTGGCCAAATTTAGTTTGGTCAAGAAAAAGAAAGACTGTGAGGAAATTTAGAGAGACCCAGCTAAGCTTACTGAAAAAGCATCTCAATGGCAAATGAAGTTCCTCGTAGAATGCTAAAAGTTAATGCATGCTTGGGAGAAAACTCATTTGCTCAGCCATCTTAAAGTGCTCTAATTGAATTCTTTCTCTTTAGGAAAAGAGTTGAGCATCACTGCTGACAGCTCAGCAAAAGCTCCAGAGAGTTTTTACAAGGATGACACGGATGTAGTGGAGAGAGTCCAGTAAAGGACCATGAAGATGATGAAGGATCTGAAACATCTCTCTTATGAGGAAGAAGTGAGTCAGATGGGACTGTTCAGCCTACTGTTCAGAAAAAAAAGGGCTCACGGGGAAATTTCATCGATGTATCAAAATTGAAATGTATAGAAAGAGAAAAATAGAGTATAAAGAGAACGGAGCCAGTCTGTTTTCAGTGGTCCCCACTGCCACGACAAGAGGCAATGAGCACAAACTGAAACATAGGAGGCTCCTTCTGAACATCAGGAAGTATTTTTTTGCTAACCGAATGAAGGAGCAATAATACAGGTTGCCCAGAGAGGCTGTGGAGTCCCCTCCCTAGAAATGTTCAGAAACCATCTGGACACAGCCCTAGTTCAATTGCTGTAGGTGGCCCTTCTTGAGCAGGGAGGTTGGACTAGATATTCTCCAGAGATTCCTTCCAACCTCAACCGTCCTGTGATTACATGTGCTTACCAATTTTATTGAGAATGACAGAGCTGAGGTGTGATATGAGCACAGCATTGTGGCATTTTGAGTTATTAGTCAAGGATCAAAGTAAAGTGGTGGGCAAAATGTTTGGTTCCAGGACTGGAAGAGTAGAAAAGCTACAGGTCAGCATGAGGAACACCTGCAGAGTTTGTTATGGTGGAACCAGGAACAATAGGGAAAAGAGGGGACTTGCCAGACAGAAATGGGGGATGTTGCAGAGCTCGGTATTTGGAATAACTGGTCTGTTCTGAGGTTTTTCTTCCTTGGATGCCACTATGTATCAATCTTTCCTGTATTCCTGCAGTTTCGCTTTAAGAATCTGAATCCCCCTGAGCAGTAGGTGATCTTGACTATAATGGGAGGAATAAGCTTGGGAAAGTTTTGTTAAAAGAGAACAGGTTATAAAAACAACCCTCTCTGCACGGCTTGAACCTGTCAACATGACGCTGCCGACGACACGGCTGGAGGGGAATGTGGCAGCCTTGAAGCAGAGCAGCCTACACAGCCTGCAAGTGTTATGGCCCCAGTGTGGGCTTGGGGGAGGTGTGCCTGCCTTGCCAGGTGGGCCATGCATGGCAGTCATGCTTAAGTGGCCGTAAGCATTTAATCAAAGCGATCGCTTTGAATCTCCATTTTGCCAAGGGCTTGAGAAGGGCGGAGAAAGTGCATGTGATTCTGAAAGTGCTGCTGGCTCATCTCCAAAGTGCAGTATGGTTCTGAGTGTCCTCTTCGGGACTATATTATCTGCCCTTTGCAAGAGAAATAGCTTTTTGTAAGGATAGTTCTGTATACAAGTGGCTGCAGCATGGGGTTGTGCTGATCTCCAGTTCTGGAAAACCAGAAAGAGGCCTTAGCAGATGAGGAAGCTTGTGTCACTGAGGCCTGGGATACCGGTCTGCCCAAGATCTCTTGATGTTCTGTTCAGAGTCAGTAACCTTAGAGCAGAGATTGTGCTTCAAACATTCTCCTCCAGACAAACTGACCGTGTTGATTCATGTTGGCTTCCACTGGGGACAGACTCTTTAGTGGAGTTGGTTGTGGTGGGACAAGAGGGAATGATTTCAAACTAGAAGAAGGGTTATTTAGATTGGACATAAGGAATTCTTTTACAGTAAGAGTGGTGAGGCACTGGCACAAGTTGCCCAGAGATGTGGCTGGATGTCCTGTCCTTGGAGACATCCAGGATCAGGCTGCATGGGTCTCTGATCTATCTGTAGATGTCCCCGTTCACTGCAGAGGAGTCCATATGGTCCCTTCCAACTCAAACAATTCCGTGATTCTATGATCTTCAGAGATACTGCAGAGAACAAATCCCTGTCCTCGTCCTCAGAGCTGGATATTTGTAGAAGTGCCATATAATGGCATGACATGCTAATGCACGTAGTTGTGTCATGGCGCATTCAGCTGTGTCTGTAGCCATGTAGTAACAGAGGTCAGCATACAGTACTATGTGTGCATCTGTCAAGGCAGCTCACTCTTTCTTCCAGAATTATTTTGCTTTCTGTTTCCTGGATTGATAAATCTTGATGATGGCATACATTTTCTTGGGATACTTTGAGAACATCCTGTTTCAAATGCAGCATCTTATCCATTAGCTTTGATGAGCAGCTGGAGATGCAGGATACCTATGTTCAGTTTTGTGCTTTGCCACAGATTTGTTGCATGACCTTGGTAAACCATAAGCTTTTTTTCCAACATGTTTTTCTTTTGTTGATCAAATTATATATTTTTAGAAGCTAAAGTCAAAGTCCAACATAATAGCAAGAATAAGCTTTCGCATTTTGACCATTCATGAAGTATGGAGCACCTGCATACGATGTATGTGGCTCTGCTTGAGAAATAGTAGTGTAGAGTAGTTAGCAAATGATCAGAAGTATTGCTATGTTGGCACAGCCACCTGTTGGCAATATGGTCTGTACGTCTAGTGGAGTCTTTTTGCTGGACTGGGCACTGTTTATTGTCTCCTCTCTTCCCTGCATTTGTCTCTTCTCTTTGTTTATGCAGTGACAAAAAAGAAGGCAGTACAGGGTTGCACCAGTTTAAATGCATCTACGTGAGGCTTTTTGCTGGCACGGGTACATCAGCAGCCCTCTAGCCCTTGGCTGCATGAGCTTTGCAATGTGGGACAAACCTTAGTCTTTGAGTGCCTCAGGGATGTAACCGGTTATGGGGTGTAATTGTGCCTCTCTTCCCTGTTGGTCTGTATGAACACATTAAAATGAAACATTGCACAAGCAAGAGCGGAAAGGAGCAGTGACAAAATCTAACAGATACAGCAGCATTCAACCAAGATTTCCTAAGATGTTCACCCTACCATTCAGTCAAGATTTCATAACATGTTCAGCCTCTGTGTATGACTTGAAATGTGTGTCTAATAAATAGAAATGAAAATGTCCCTGGGATGGAGAGTTCAACATTCCTCCAATTCTAAATATCCTTTGCTGGCTACCTATATTTATCTGTCAGGAAAGAAAATGTACAACATCTGAGTTACAGAGAGTAACACAAATTGATTAACCTTGTGCAGTAATTAATTGCTGCTAGTGTGTGAGGGTAGTTTTGGGTCCAGTTTTCATCTTCAGTTTCCTGAATTGATATATCTGTCTGCTCACTTACCTGCCTACCTCTACTGGGCATGCACAAGGTGATGGTGAAGAATACAGACACTGAGTGAAATTTTGAGCTAGATTCTTACTGGCACATGAGCTCTGGCCTGGCACAGGCAGCTGGTGGAGATCATCGGAAGGCCATGTGTTTTTGTAATATGGGACAGTCGTAGTGTGAGTTAGAAGATGCTAAGGTCAATTTTTTCTCGTGCTACTGGTGGATAAATTTGATGGACTCTTGATCTGATGAAAAATCAGATAATAGAATTCTACTGAAAGCACTGCAACTGTTGGGACATGTTTTCCACTATGAAAATCTCCAGTGTGCCTTTGCACCAACAAATGCCCGGATGGCATGCACTGAGTTTTGCAAAATGGCAGGGATGGAAAAAAGGCAGATGAGTGGTGTCTTGTCTCAGTGTCTCTTGCCATTTCCACTGGCCCGGAAATTTTTCCATACCATCTCACTCCCTGTCTTCTTCTAAATGGCAGAGAGAAACTGGACTGTAACTCACAATTCACGTAGTTGTTGTTTTTGTAGTATACAGTATACACTGTGACATAAACAGCAAATGCTCTGTAAGGGGCATTTTACCCTTCAACACAAAGATTTCAGTCTATACCCCAGTACAGCTCTGCCTCTGTCTTCTAATGGGAGGCCACAGCACGGGGAAACGCATCCTGGGAAGGCAGAACAACGGGGTGGGAATTAGTCAGATGCAGAGGCGAGTGACTCGATACTAATGGCCAGATAGGCTCTGACAGCCTCACACCAACGGGCCACTCTTCTCTACAGGGAGTTTACGAGGCCTTGGCTTGTGTGGCCACCTCCACTTACGAATGAAAATCAAAACCAGATTGGTGTACCCCTCCCAACAGCAGCTGCCTGTTTTTTTGCATAAATCGTGCTCCCTGCCCCTCTCCAGGGGAGCTCCATAAAATAAATGGATTCATTACATGCGGATTTCCTTTTCCTTCTTCTCTAGAGAAACAAAGAGCCTATTAGATACAATATGGAAATACACATATACATGCACAACTGTGCAGAGAACATGAAAATGTGCACGTGCACATGCAGTGCATAAGCTCCCTCACTCTCCCATCTCTCTCCCATCTCAGTGCTGTAAAATACTTGCAGAAAGCCCCTTCTTCTTTATGTGCACAGCTCTGCCAAACACACAGGCGTGCATTCATTCGTGCATTTCTGTAGCTGAAATTCTGAACTAGCAAGGACAGGAAAGCACAGGCAAGTTGCTTCCTCCCCAAAGGTGCGGGGCTATGTATCTCAGCCAAAGCCTCCCATAGCGGCCAGCAGTGTTTTCACCAAGGAGCAGAAGGGTCCCGTCTTTTTCAGAGCTGGGCTCGCAACACAGTAACCAGAGAGCTGGGGAGGTGCCAGCTGGGTCCCTTAACTGCCGTAAAAGAGGGCGCTTTGTGTCTGAGTAGGCAGAAGGACAAAGGTAGCGAAAAGGCTGGGAGGCCTTCATTCCTCTCATCTCCAGGTGGCGGCAATACTGGCATAGGAAAGAACTGGAAAGCACACCTTCCCTGGAAAGCTCTGCCTGTGTGCTGCACCACATGCAAATCGCACACACCTGTGCAGCAGGCTGAGGGACAGGCTGGAAACTCCTTGCCAAGCAGGTTACACAGTTAGGAGGTACCTACTTTCACCTTCCAGATGCTGCCATAAGATATTGGCTCCAGGACAAGACTGTGCAGAATGTGGGTATGTTGACACTGCACGCTAAAGCCACGTCAGAGCCTAGGTTTGAGACTGACTTGCTTCCCCTGCAAACTGTTAATGCCTTCACCCTCAGATCCAAATCCCTCTGACTTCAGCTGGGAATTCTCTGGGGCTCTGAAAGCCCAGCCTCGACAGTGTGCTGTGCTTTACAAACAGGAGGCAAATTACCGGAACTCTAGGAAACTGGGCATAATCTTTGCCAGGTTGTCTCCTGGTCA